GCACACTGTATACAGAATAGCTCATTTTTGGTGGTTGAACAAATTGGAATTGGAATCTATTAGAAATATGAATATAATTTCTAACAATTATGTCTTTTGGGTCAGTGTTTTTTATTAATTTTTTGGTACATTGAATAATGGGGTCTTACGGTGTTAGACCAAAGTAGGGGTTAGACAGTGGGGGTTGTGTGCCTGGCCTAATGGGTAAAATGTTAGATGTTTAAGTTGAGGTTGATTGTCTCTCTCTGTCTCTCTGAAGTCATGAGGTGTGTTTCCATGTTGTGAAATCCTCTCATTATTGATGCTATCTCTTACAGAAGAGCAGTGTTGCTGCTAATAGCAGAGCAGCAGATGACTCTGATCCTTCTCTCCAATCACAGACTCAGATGGAGGATGCTTCTGGTCAAACCAAGTCTCCTCAACAGGTACAGTCACTTTTATCACTGGAAAGTTAAGTCTGCAGTCTGTTTCTGCCATGTTTGGAGCATATTTTGGTGCGTATCTGCTATAAATGAGTTCACTCAACACTTTATCGACATGTGTCCAGTAGTTTAGTGGTAGTGGAATATTTAAGGCCAGTTTTGTCTCGCAAACAATTTTTTTTTCTTGGTTAATTGTTGCTTTAAAATGTACACTCACGACGTCCCCACAACACACTTTCAGTCGCTCAGTGTTGGAGTTCAGATTGTGTGTGAAATGAGATGAATCTGGTCCCCATAAGGAACAATAACGTTGTGTGTGAAAGGTCCTCATGAGGCCTGTTTCGCTCAAGATGAGTGTGTGAGCGCAGACCGAGGATGCTGGACAGGAATAAAAAAAATGTTTCTCTCTGAGCTCTGGTCAGCTTTTTCATTTTCAAATACAATAGTAATGTCAAATTGTTTATCCTTTGTGTTTACAGATTGTGACACAGCGGCAAAATGAAAATGAGATTCTTGTGCCAAGACTGAGACGGACTAAAAGTATTATAGTAAGTTTTCAAGTCACAACAAGAGACTTGATATCAATTTTTTTTAATCATCAGATCATTCTCATTATCCGTAACTCTGTGGAATGGTGTAAAATAATTTGTATAATGATAATATATTTTTGTGATATTGACTGCAAAATATCAGAATAATTACAATTTATTTTACTTTAAGACCAAAATTTTGTAATCTGATCTTTTTATTTATTTTTTATTTTTTGGTCAGATCAACTGCCCATAACTTTTTCACTGAGAACGT